ATGAGAAAGACAAGAGTTCAGATGATGGTAATATTGTAGCAATGAATTCAAATAATGATTCAGTTACTTTAATTTATACACATGGTGATTGTAATCATATTGGTGATCCCGACATTAAGTGGATAGTTGACACAGTAGTGGCATATCATTGTGTTTCTAAGAGAGAGTTATTTACAACTTACAAAGTAGAAGACTTTGGTGGCATCAAGATGGAAAACAAGAGTATATTATAGATTGTTGAAATTGGTGATATTGTTATACAAACTAGTATAAGCTGCATGTTGACTTTAAGGGATGTCAAACACATTCTAGATATGAGAATGAACTTGCTTGCTATTAATGTCATTGATAAGAAGGGATATAAGAGTCAACAAAAGAATGGACAGTAGAAGCTTCTCAAAGAATCTATGGTATTGTAAAGAAAAAACTATGCTACACAATGTATAAGACATAGAGCAATTGAACGATAACCAAGTCAATGCCATTAAGGATGATACTTCAACAAACTTGTGACATAAGAGACTAGCAGACATGAATGATAAAGGTTACAGGTTTTGGAAGACAATCTTTCATTCCCTTAACCAAAGGTATGTCTTTCATTCATGTGATTATTATTTGTTTGATAAGCATCGTAGAGATTCTTTTCGTAAGAGTTCTTAGATAAAAAAATAAATTGAAATTAATTTATTCTGACGTATGTGGTCCTATTAAGGTTGAGTCATTAGGTGGTAACAGGTATTTTATTACTTTTATTGATGATGCTTCACGTAAGACTAATGTGTATATGTTAAAAAACAAAAGCCAGGTATTGCATCATTTTTAGAATTTTCATGTTGTAGTGAAAAAGATGATAGGGTTACCCTTAAAATGTATTCGGACTGATAATAGTAGGGAATACACATCTAAAGACTTTGAAGAGTATTGTTTAAAGCATGAGATTAAGCATGAGATGACAAAACCTAGAACACCACAGCATAATGGTGTAGTTGAAAGGATAAACCGCACCATTGTGAAAAAAGTCAAATGTATGTTGAGGATGGTAAAATTATCAAAGCCATTCTGGAGTGAAACAGTCAACACAACTTGTTATTTGCTTAACAGATTACCATCAGTTTCTTTAGGCTTTAACATTCTAAAAAGAGTGTGGATAAGGAAAGATGCTTTATACTCTCATTTGAAAGTTTTCGAGTGTCAAGCATCCATGCATGTGCCAAAAAAGCAAAGGTCAAAGCTTGACAGTAAAGCCACACAGTTGTGTTTATAGGATATGGTGATAAGAAATTTGGCTACAGAATATGGGATCCAGTGAAAAAAAATACAGTTAGAAGCAGAGATGTAGTTTTCCATGAAAAAAAAATCATAGCAAATTTTGAAAAAAATAAGAAGACTATACGGGTTACTGTTGAGTGTGATGTTTCAACACCGACAGGGGTTTCATAGAAAAAAGTCACAAATGGTGGAAATATGTAAGAAACAGAACTTAAGGATATAAATGAGCTAACCACAGTTAGTGATGAACCAGATACAATCAATTTTGAGTAGAGAGAGCAATTCTCTCTACCTGAGAATATTGAACAGAAAGAGCTACCTTCGGCATCAGGTGATGTAGAGTCTCAGTCTAGAAGATCTACTAGAGAGCACAGGTCATCTATCAGGTATTCAAGTTCAGATTTTATTTTAGTTATGAGTAAGAATGAGCCAAGGAGCTTCGAAGATGTATAGGTTACTCCGGATAGAGAGCACTGGTTAAAAGTAATGAAAGAAGAGATGGAGTCATTATAAAAAAATGGTACTTATGATCTTGTTAAACTTTCAAAAGAAAAGAGGCTGTTGAAAAATAAATGGGTGTTCGAGTTGAAAAATAATGGTGACAAATTAGTGAGGTACAAAGCTTGATTGGTGGTGAAAGGTTTTTCTCAGAAATTAGACATCGATTTTGATGAGATCTTCTCTTCAGTTATGAAAACGAGTTCCATTCGAGTGGTACTAGGAATAGCAGCTAGTTTGAATCTTGAGCTTGAGCAACTTAATGTCAAGACTACATTCTTGCATGGTGACTTACAAGAGGACATTTATATGAATCAACCTAAGGGTTTTGAAGTAAAAGAGAAAAAACACTTAGTTTGCAAACTGAAAAAAAGCTTATATAGCTTAAAACAAGCTCCACGATAATAGTACAATAAGTTTGATTATTTTATGGTGAGTCACAACTATAAAAGAATGACAGCGAATCCTTATGTGTATGTCAAAAAATTTTCTGATGGTAACTTCATTATTCTCTTATTATATGTTGATGATATGTTGATTATGGGACAAGATGTTGGTATAATTTACAGGTTAAAAAAATAATTGTCTAAGTTTTTTAACATGAAGGATTTATGTCTAGCAAAGTAGATTCTCGATATGGACATTATCTAGGACAGGAGAGTAAAAAGTTATGGTTATCACAGGAAAAATATGTTGAATGAGTACTTAGTAGATTTAACATGCAACATGCTAAATCAGTTAACAGTCCACTTGCAAACCATTTTCATCTAAATAAGAAATCTTGTCCGGTGTTTAAGAAAAAGCAATTAGCTATGTCTAGTATTCCTTATTTTTCTACAGTCAACTTTTTAATGTATTTTATGGTTTGTACACAGCTTGAGATTGCTCATACAGTTGGTGTAGTGAGCAGATTTCTTTCTAATCTGGAAAAAGTTCATTGGAAAGTAGTTAAATGAATTTTCAGATATTTAAGGGGCACCTAAAAAATGTGCTTAAGTTATAGAATCTCACAACCAGTTCTAGAAGGGTTTATTGATGCTAATATGACAGGTGATTTAGATAGTAGGAAATCTACTTCAAGGTATTTGTTCACTTTTGCAGGAGGAGTTGTGTCTTAACAATCTAAGTTACAGAAATGTATTGCTTTGTCAACTACAAGGGCTAAATATATTGCAGCAACAGAAGCAAATAAATAAATACTTTAGATGAAACGTTTTCTTCTTGAATTGGGGTTAAATCAAAAAAAGTATGTGATATTTTATGATAACCAGAGTGCTTTATATTTGAGTAAGAATGCCATGTACCATGCTAGAATGAAGCACATTAATGTTAGATATCACTGGTTACGTTCGGTGATTGAGAAACAGCAGATGCTGTTGAAAAAAATCTATACTGATGAGAATGTAATAGATATGTTGACTAAGACACTTTTTAGGAAGAAGCTTAAGCTCTGTAGTAACTTGACCGGAATGAGTTTCATGGCTAAGATAAGTTTCAAATGAAACTGCTATGATAATGAATCTCCTCCTAATGGGGTTGGAGAGGGAGATTGTTGGGAAAATGGGGTCCAACCCCATATAATTGATTTTGGACCAAGCAAAGGCCATAAGCCTTGGTTTTTCCTTTTACATAGAGCTTTAGCTACTTAATAAAAAGAGGTGGAGTTGTTTTAAGGTGGTATTGAAAACCAAGAAGAGAAAAAAGAAAAGCTAAGAAAAATAAAGAGAAAAAAAAAGGGGAGAGTTGGTTAAACGGAAGTCGATTCGTGGTTCGATTGAGCTGAAACTTTGTTAGCAGGTTTATAATTTAGAGTTTTATACTTTGAATGGTGAAGATTAGGTTTGAAGCTCTCTATGAACAAATCCAGTGTGTATTTGTTGAGTCACCTATTTGGTGAGATTTCTTCAATTATCTCTCTAGTTATTGATTAGTTCTAGTTTTAGCTAAAAAAGAACTTTGTATATCAATTATTTGATAGTGAAGATTTTTCTGGTGGTCAATGATTTTTTTCTTTATACTAGAGGATTTTTCACATAAATCTTAATGTGCTTTATTTTTCTGCATTATTAATTGTTGATTATTGTCTATTACTATGAGTTTATTGCGTTATATTATTTATGCATTATTGTGTTTGTTGTATCAGGCTCAATAAATGTAGGATCTTTTTACCATCGGACTTGGCTGGATACTTTCTGGTGGGCTTCCCATATTGTTAAGTGCTCTCTTTTTTCTTGTTCCTGCTGCTAGTTAACACTGCACATAAATTATAAATTCATTTCTTTCCTTTTTAAGTTGCACTCGTATGATAGGACTTGATTTTTGTTACAGCTGAATGTTATCGGGCAATTTCAGGGATTTGTTGGTTCTGGTCTGTATGCCTACTACAAGCTTGTGGGAAAATGAGTGATCAGGCTAAGAAATAAGTAACGTCTAATTCGAGTTTATTGATTGCTACTGCCTTATTTTTGTTCCCTTGTCTGATATGATTTTCGATCCGTTGGAGGAAAGATACCCTTCTAAAGAAAGGAGATTTATGCACAGTGAGAAGTTGCTGATCTAAAAACTTCCAGAAAATTGAGGCCCACTTGCAATTAGAACCAATGTAGTTTATGATTCTCTGCTCATCTCACCTTTTCTTTACTCTTCCTTTTTCCCTTCCTCTACATGGGTTCATAGGAGTAGTAAGTGAAATTTTGTAAAATTGAAGAGTTTGGAAAAGTAGGGACCATTTTTCTTTTCTTTTGTTTACAAAATTTTGAACTAAGTTCCAAGTTTTAGACTGTGTTGTTCTTAATTCTCAACATGCTGTCACATCTTGTAAAAATTTTGGATACAAATACTGTTAATCATTTTGATTTGGTAAAAAAGCTACGTTGATTTTAGACAAAAGTACTCATCAGATTCATTTCATGCTATCCTAACTGCATCAACCATTAAAATTTCAAATGTTTGAGGCTGAATTTTTGTATTTTTGTATTTTTGGATCCCAACCCTATTTTGCATTTCTTTCAAATTCAATGAGCTGAATCTTCAGTCCTCATAACGGTGCTTCTTTATTGGAATTGTGTAAGCGCAGCTTGAACCCTCAAAATCCCGGATGTATCCAACTATAAAGAAAAAGAACTCATATTTCTTTATTGGTTCCAATGAAAAAAGTCCTCCTGGACCCATTACCCAGATACAAAGCCCACTTTCCCACATTCGCAATTGCAAGTGTGAAAGTGAAACCACTCATTGTTTGTACGGTTTCTTCCCCTGAAGTCCACCACAGCCTCATCAATGTGTGTGGCGAAGAATGAGATAGCCTTCTGCAAAATTTCACTCCCCATCTCCACCCAAAAAAATCCCTTCTTTCAATCTGAACACACCATCGCACATTTCCAATCAAGTACTACCTCCCTTCTTTTTATCAAACCGGAAACAACCACACCAAAAGCCATGGCCAGCATGATCATGGCCTCCTCAAAACCTATTATCCCCATCACATCTTCCCTCTCTTCCAAACCCAAACTCCAACAAATCCCACAACTTTCCCTCCCAAAAATCCCCACTCCAAAATTCTTGAAACCCCAACAAATTCTATCACTCTCTTCCTCCACTCTCAAATCCATTTCCCTCTTAACAGTCACCTCTTTATCCTTTGCCCCACCTTCTCTTGCTGAAGAAATAGAAAAAGCTGCTCTTTTTGACTTCAACTTAACTCTTCCAATTATGATGGTTCAATTCTTGCTTCTCATGTTTGCTCTTGACAAGATCTACTTTACCCCACTTGGGAAATTCATGGATGAGAGAGATGCTGCCATAAAAGAGAAACTTGCCAGTGTTAAGGACACCTCTGAGGAAGTGAAGCAGCTTGAAGAGCAAGCTGCAGCTATCATGAAAGCTGCAAGAGCTGAAATTTCAGCTGCTTTGAACAAGATGAAGAAAGAGACCCAGTTGGAATTGGAGCAGAAACTGGATGAAGGAAGGAAGAAAGTTGAGGCTGAATTGCAGGAGGCTTTGGCTAATTTGGATAAACAAAAGGAAGAGACTATCAAGGCAGTTGATTCCCAGGTTGATGCTCTCAGTCAGGAGATTGTCAAGAAGGTGCTTCCTCTCTAAATCATCTGTTTTATTCCCATTTTCTATTTGGTTTATGATTTTGAGCGACGTCAATCATCGATGTATGTAATCATAAAATTGAATTGTAAAACAAGGGACAACTTTTTGTACTTATTGGACCCTTGCTCGTTCGTTTTGTTTCTTTTCTTTCATTTATAAGTTTCATAATTTTGCATTCTTTTACAAGACAACTTATCTGCCAAAGTGGATTAGGTGTAAAAGCATCAGTTTCTCAAGTTCCGAACTTTTGTAAGATGATAGAAGGTTAGAAGCTTCAAAAACCGAGATGGGTCTATGTCCATAGGCTTGCTTTATATTCTCATGTACCTAGTTTTTCTAGTGTTAACCTTTTGATCAGTAGTTTAAATTTATCTATCGATCCATGAATTAATGCCCGTCCAGTTCAGTCCACGTAAGTCAACAAAGACAATGTTGAGGTCTTAACTAGTTTGAGTGTTTCATCTAGGAACCTTAGAATGCTTTAAATATCACAATCAACAGCCTTTGGAGCAAGCGAAATTGGTTTCTTTAAAGGGTCACTGGGTCACGATACCAGTGATGCCAAGAAAATTCAACGTTAGCCATTGACAAGCAGAAGTGTAGGACCAGGGGTGCGAAATCAGCCAATGAATCAGGACTAATCCTATTCTCTGCCGCCTCTTCAATTCGATGAAAATGACTGGAACAACTCATAAGGTTTGTAGTATTTGATTTCTAATTATCACCCAAACCACGACAAATACAACTCGGATGCCCCAAAAAAATGCAGGTTCGCCTCGCCAAGTGCCGATCGCCGGCAGTTGTTTTACCTTTTAACTCCTTAACTTTATAGCTTTTTGTTCAAGCAAAGGCCAAGTAGTGGGACGAAGGTGTTTGTTAATAACCAACAGTAATAGAAACTTGAAAGCCATTTGCTATGCTATGAAAAATGGGGCAAGTGAAAATGGCTTTTCATGCAAAAGTTTCACGCCAGACGTTTCGAGACAAGCTGTCCTGTCTTCTAACGTAAACACCAGTTGAAGATCAAAAAAGAGAACCAAAATAATTCGTTTTTGCCTTTTGGCATTGACTAATTAAGGGGAAGCAGCAAAAAGAAATTTGCGAGAAACCAATCATCTGTTTTCTCGATCCTCATTTGGTGACTGATTCTTCGTTTAATGTTGTACCACTTTACAAACCATAACAATAAATTTGGGTAAATTTATGTGACCAAATCTATCCCATTGTGATCATGTTCCTAACTTCCAGATTCTACCCTTTTCGACATACATTTTTTCTTTTTTTGAAAAGCTTAATGATTACATTAAGAAGTGAAAGCATTACAATCATTGGTAACAATATTAGTAATAATAGGACATTCTTCAAACAATTACGTAGTTGATATATGCTGCAGGGCATGTCTGGCCAAAGAATGTGCTGCTTCATTTGCATCTCGTTTCACATGGACTGCCTGTGAGGACTAGAAAGTTGCCCGTCATTCAAGCATCTTCCATTAGGTTTCCAACAACAGAGAGGTCATCTGTAGATGATTTGAGACAATGAATTATCTCCACTGCATCTCTTTCTAACAGGATAGAATAGAAGCCCATTTCCTTTGCAACTTCTACAGCACTACCTTTGTCATCCCTTGGCACAACGCCAATACCGCCCATGTTCTCTTCGACATTTATTGCTCCATCAAAATTAGTTGTGACAACACCTATGGGTGGTGCTTGCCACCTATCTTCCATTTCAGTTTTGTTGTTCAGAGATATATCTTGAGCTTTTTTAAATTCTTCCAGATAATTAGTAGCAAACTGTGCAGTAGCCTCCGGATTCCTCTGTTCTCCAGCTCTAACCACCAAGTTTCTGCTATGCCACACTGCCACCACCAATCCAAGCTCAAAATTCTCTTTATCAACTTCCTATGCCACTACAGATAACCACCCCTTATCCGCACCATAATCCATGTTTACCCATGCTCTGTCTATTGTGATATGACTCCAGGTTTCCCTCACATGAGCACAATCTCTAACTACATGCATTACCGTTTCTTCATAGTTTCCACCTGAGACATACTAGTTGTACATCTATATGCCTCTTTCTCAAATTGCTGAAAACAGGCAGCAAACCATGATTCAACCTCCATCCGAAGATCTTAATCTTGTTTGGAAGGTTTGTCTGACAAAACTTCCTATGCCACTACAGATAACCACCCCTTATTCGCACCATAATCCATGTTTACCCATGCTCTGTCTATTGTGATATGACTCCAGGTTTTCCTCACATGAACACAATCTCTAACTGCCTGCATTACCGTTTCTTCATAGTTTCCACCTAAGACATACTGGTTGTACATCTATATTCCTCTTCCTCAAGTTGCTGAAAACAGGCAGCACACCATGATTCAACCTCCATCCAAAGATCTTAATATTGTTTGGAAGGTTTGTCTGCCAAAACTTGTTCCGGAGCCTTGTGTTAATGTGTTCCCTCAGATTGTATGCCATGTGAATTAGAGGCAAGCAAATAGTAAGCCCTCTTAACTGTATATACACCATGCTTCTCAAAATTCCAAATTAATCGATCCTGGTGCTGAAACCTGCTTAATCAACCCAGCATTCCAACTTCTCGTTTGGGGATCTATGAGTTTAGCTACAGTTGCATTTCCAGTTAGCAGGCCATGGTTACCGCCAGGGCTTGCCAATGCATTTTTCGGCAGCCACTTGTCATTTCATATTCGGATTCGTTTACCATCTCCCACCCTCCACCTAACTCCTGAAATCAGAACATCCCTGACCAGCCATATGCTTCTCCATGTGAGGGTTTGAACCAAGCGTGGCTTCCATAAAGGTGGAATTTGGGAAATATTTGGCACTTAAAACTTTGTACAGCAAAGAGTGAGTATTCTTGACCAATCTCATCCTAGTGTACCCAGAAAAGCTCTGTTTGAAATGATACAAATTTCTAAAGCCCATTCCCCCAGCTTTTTTTGCTTAAATACATTTTATTTCAGTTTATCCAATGCACTCCTCTTCATTTTTAGAGCTCCACCAATAGTCACTAATTAAACTATTGATTTCATAGCATAAACTCTTAGGAAAAAAGGAAGCAATTCATAAGATAGGATGGTATGGACTGGACTAATGACTTAATAAAAACTTCTTTACCACCTCGAGATAGAAGCCGTTTAGTTCAATGTTTGATTTTCATCTGAATCCGATTTTTATATCTCTAAAAGCCCTTTTTTTTATTCTCCCGACCATGGTAACTTTAACTATCACCTTGGTAGGTTTAACACATGAGAAGTTAATCAATCGCGTCATCATTTATAAAATCAAATTAAGCAAGTAACACATTCACAAATTTACTATCTCTTCTAATTATTTTTTGTTCTTCAACTCTGTCTCCCTAGTATATCTTGTTGATTTAAATACCAGATCATGCCTTGCAGTACTATCTTTATACGCTAATAACTTAAACATAAAAATACTCAGAGATTCATTTTGTTTCACAAATCAGCATAAATTATTATTCACATTTATAGAGTTATATTTTATTATTTAAAGAAACAAAAACAATAGTAACAAAAAAAAAGTATATTAATTATGAAAGCGATTAATGATTTTATTAATTTCTACTTATTCGTTTAAATTATATTGGAGTAAAACTATTGGGCTAAATACTTAATTGGCCCACTGTGGGACCACTCTGATGAATGTTTTAGATTCCAAAGTAACAGTTTCTTCTTCAACTTCTGTGTTTCTCTTTCCAACGCTCTTCACTTTCCTTCCATTTTTCACACTTATTATTTGTCAGTTTTCAGCTTCAAATATCTAAAAAAAAATCCTCACTGTTTTCAATTATTTTTTTTTCTTTTCATCTTAATTCGTCGATATTTCAAAACCCTCCTCCTTTAACTGTTCTCTTTATAGTGCAGTTTAGCTTCAGCCGATCGAACTTGGTCTTAGTTAAGGTAAGTTCTCGTACCATAAAACTTGTCTCTCTAAATATGGTTAGGTGTTATGTTTATGATCTTCCCCATCTCCTTCTTTGGTCTTTTTTGGGTTCTCTTAGGAAAAGAATTCGACTTGTTCCACTAGACTCCTCGTCTAAAGAGAAAACAAGAATGAATATACAGGAAGAACAAAAAAAAAGTTTGATCAGATTATAGCTCTTTAACTTTTCTGATTCTTTTGCTGCAAGACAGATTTTTGACTAATAATTGAAAAAAGCTTGTTTTAATTTTCTATTGTGGATTATCATAAACAAGACTCGTTAAACATATTAGTTATTTGTATAATCCTATCTGATGCTTTGGGAATTCATGATTTCGTTGGGTATTTTGTAACGATGTCTTTTTTTTTTTTTGGGGTGGGGGGGTGTTGAAGGAATGGCTGGGAAAGTTGTCAACGCTCTGTCCGCCAGTTTCTGTGAGTATGAATTTCTGGAAGCTGATGATGACCAACTTAGAACCGTGGTTGCAGCTTCAAATCAGATAATTCCATGGATTGACCCTTCAATTTTGAAACTTAGGCATAGAATTGGAAGGGGACCTTTTGGCGATGTTTGGTTAGCAACGTGTTGTCGTTCGACTAATGATTATGATCAGTACTATGAAGTAGCCATCAAGATGTTGCATCCAATTAAGCAAGATGACATGAGGTCTTTGTTGGATAAGTTTGATGATTTATATTCTAAGTGCCAAGGTGTGAATAATACTTGTTCTCTTCATGGAATTTCTATTATAAGTGGAAAGGTGCGTATTGCAGCTAATATAGATGAATTTGGTTCACTAGATGACTACTGCTTATCTTTCTAAGAAATTAATTTTGTTTTTTTTTTTTTTTTTTACTTCAGATATGTATTATTATGAAATTTTATGAGGGATCAGTTGGGGATAAAATTTCTCGCCTTAAGGGGGGAAAGCTACCATGGCCTTGTGTTTTAAGGTGATGTACTCAATAAATGGAAATTTGTGTCTTTTTTATTTTTCTTGTTAATACCTATGTTAGGATAGGGTAGTTAATTTTACTTTTATTGCATCTAATGTTTGCAGGTATGGGATCAATTTGGCGCAGGGAATTTTGGAGTTGCACTCAAAAGGGATCTTGATTCTTAACCTTAAACCTTTTAACTTTCTTCTTAATGAAACTGACCAAGCAGTTCTAGGGGATATTGGTATTCCGTATTTACTCCTGGGAATTAGGTTGCCCAGCTCAGGTATGGCACACAGGCTTGGAACGCCCAATTACATGGCTCCAGAACAGTGGCAACCAGAAATAAGAGGTCCAATATCATTTGAGACTGATTCATGGGGATTTGCATGCAGTATTGTGGAAATGCTCACTGGCATTGTTCCTTGGCATGGGAAATCAGCTGATGAAATTTATGACCTGGTTGTCAGGAAACAGGAGAAACCACTTGTTCCAAGTGGCCTTCCTCTTCCAGTCAAGAAAGTTCTTCTTGGCTGCTTCGAGTATGACTTCAGAAGTCGTCCTTTAATGAAAGACATATTACATGTCTTTAACAGGTAGGTTTTTTCTATGTATATATTCAATTTTGTAGCTTAAGACAGAAATAAGATCCCTTCTCTGTATATCCACTGTTTCCACTCCCTCTTTATCCTGATGTATAAAGTGCTGAACAATTATGTAATATGCAGCTAAATAGTTGTGCAATTTGTTAAAGCAACCCATTTAAAAACAATTTTAAATTACAATGTTGAGTGTTCTTATACTTATTTCCTGTTAACTTGCTTAGTATCTTTGGCTAATCGCAACCACATTTTCAGCTCAGAGACTGGAGGTGAAGATGATGGTGGTTGGACAGGCCTTGGGACTACAACAGTATCGGACAAAAAAAGTAACATCACTGGCTACACAGAGTGGTTTCTTTCAAAGGATTGTTTGCAAATGGGTGACATAGTGCGGTCCAGAAAGCCACCTAACTCATGCAAACCTGAAAATATGGATGTCCCAGAAGGAACTGTGGTGGGTTTAGAACGTAGCACAGATCGAGATGGTTTTGTATTGGTGAGGGTTCATGGCTTTCATGATCCATTAAGAGTTCATGCTTCAACAATAGAGAGGGTCACTCATGGCTTAGCAGCTGGGGACTGGGTACGTTTGAAGGAGGAAGACAAAAGGCACTCACCAGTAGGTATTCTTCATTCCATTGACCATGATGGAAATGTTGCTGTTGGCTTTATAGGGTTGGAAACTCTTTGGAAGGGAAGTTCCTCAGAGTTTCAGATGGCGGAATCTTACTGTGTTGGTCAGTTTGTTAGGCTGAAATCTAACGTGCTTAGCCCTCGCTTTGATTGGCCTCACAAAAGAGGAGGTATGTGGGCTACTGGGAAAATTTGCTGGATCCTGCCAAATGGATGCCTTGTTGTCAAGTTCCCAGGCAGATTAAGTTTTGGAGAGGAATTTGGCAAATTTTTGGCTGATCCAGCTGAAGTGGAAATTGTTTCCTTTAATAATTGTCCAGGGGTGGTGAAAAAGTTTCAACATCTTGAGGATTTTCACTGGGTTGTGAGGCCACTTATAGTTGCATTGGGTCTATTTACGGCAATGAAGGTTGGAATTTTTGTTGGAAAGAGATTTGGGAGGTCAAAAGTGAAGCGACATAGCACTGTAATTCATAATGATGTCCAACGTATCGATGGCCAGACTGCAGGCAACCCTGCATGGCTTCCACCACCTGTGGCAAATATTCTTTTCAGGGAAGGTGCTGCTCGGTAGTTCATACACTAGGAGGCATACCATGTTTGATTGCAGTAGGCAATTGTTTCTACCGTAAATGGTTATCGACTTTGATTCTAAACTTCTAAATTATCTACATCTTATACGCTAAGGTGTATATATTTTAGCACATTGTCTCTTTGCTCTGCAGATATCCCAGCTGATCTGAATCTTATGATGATTATGGTCTGTATCTTCTTTGTAGAAACGTCTGGGTGAAGGGCATTATCCAATTGCTTTTGGCTTTCCATCTATCAGAACATTGTTTGACCTTTAATTGATTTGTATATTGCGGCTTGGACGCCCTACTTAAAGAATAAAATAGAGATCAAAGTGACTACAAACGGTTGCATTTCCATTGTGGTCTATGATAAAGGGAGCGCAAATATCGTTAATGTGCAAAAGAATGCTCAGGAAGAGATGCCATGTTGAGGGTTCGCGTAGAAGACACTCATAAAGCAACATTATTTTAGTTTCACTCGGGAAACAAGAAAGAGTATATAGAATTTACATACTCACGAGCGATGAGAACATGATTAATGGCAGAACAAGTGGGTAACTAACCTAAAACCCAAAATTTTAGATAAACACTCAGGCTGCTTCCTAATCCAGCCCTATAACTAAAAGCCGAGAAATATCAGCTATCAATATACACAATCCAACCCAATCACGAGCTTAACTTTGCAGATTTGCACCAACAATTCGGGCATCTTTCACCGGCTGCTGTGTTAAAGCTGAAAGTCTGGCTACTCCCGTTTGTGTCAGTGAAACATTCATTGTTCTGAATCAGAACTACTTTGAAGGAAGATAATGGTATCAGAATCAGCCCCAACACTCGTGCAAGTTTTTCTTTCAAGAGTTCCCATCTCATTTCAGCAGAGCGCTAGTGGCAGCTTCAACTTCCAGTTGAGCTGCCTCAAGTTAAAACTTCTCAATAGCCAATTCACCAATGTTTTTCTCCCCCGTTGTCTCGGACAGAGAAACAAAGTAGAAAAAAAATGGCTGTGTTGCAAATATCATTTCATTTCATCCTACCAATATCGGCATGCAAGAGGAGTTAGACCGAATAACCTTTTGATACAATATAGTCTTATTTGATAGCAATTTGCACTCGTAAAATCTAACTACTAAACACTTTTGATGAGAAGCAAAATATCGTTTTTAATAATGATTTTTTGCTGCAAATATTATCTAAAAGATTTGCTCTTAATTTGAGAAGGAAAAGAATTGAATAGGTTCTAATACGTTCAAGTCTTTCAAAGTGTCTTGGTTGATGAAGGCTGGGAGTAGGGATGATTGAAGAAGGCTTATCGGGAGTCGAGACTCGAGAGAGACGAAAATTTTTCTCAACAAGGCTAGGAAAGTAAGGCCTTGTAAACAGTAGGGATCGCAGGAAAGGTGGCTTCTATTGTCGGGACCGGATGAGATCAAGAAAGACTCTGAAAGAGTGTGAGAGAAAGGAGGCGCCGTTGGCTTTTGATTGGGAGAGAGACTAAGGCTTCGTCTGGATTCAATCTTACCTTCGCTGGAAGTGTGATTCCAACCAAATTTTGTGTCTACCGATCCTTGAAATCCAAACAGATATTTGGTGCGGTTTGGTTGATGATGATTGACCATCCCATTTAAAAAGGTTTAGGGACTAATCGTACAGTAACTTTATATTTTTATTTTTTTTATTTTCACTCTTAAAATTTTAAATAAAAAATTTATTTATTATTCATTAATTTTAAAAAAAAATTAAATAAGAAAAGAAAAACTATATTGCAGAGACATTTTTTCTTTACAGCTTGAATGGGAAAAAACAAACAAACAAACAAACAAAGCAAAAAAGGAAAGCAGTTGTTCACTGAACTAAAATACTGCAATGAATGATCGGCACAAATCAACTCACACTGACACTGATAATGCATTTGGACGTTTACAACACGATTGGCACAAATTTACGTGCAAAACGCACTCCCACTGGGGTTGAGTTAGAGGTTTTTAGGTTAGGTTACTTTGATATATAATTAAAGATAAAATTATAATTTTTAATTAAAAATAATAAAAATATTTGATTTTAAATCGAATATTAAAACATTTAAATTGAACTCATGAGCTATTAAAATTAAATAATTATTAAATCGAATTCAAATTTTATCTTAATAAATATGAATAATTTACACCCTTATTTACTGTTGTAAATATTGTTAATAGCAACCATATTAACTTTTTATTGTTGATAATAAATCTTAGCTTGACCAATTTCTCCAAGTTGATATTTAATTTTATTGTAGTTCGGTGGATCGTGCATGATATCAACTTCTTGATGTGGAATTTTACCGGACATTGACAGTGGGTTGGGTTGCTTGTGTGTACACGTATGTTTTACCCATGCGTATTCTTTATTAATATTTTTTTCTGCTTTCAGACGTTGAACCTTGAAATTCCTGGCTTGGTATATCGATTTATGATCACCTGTCTCCATGCTGATTTGCTGAGAAAGATGATGCCTGAGCAACAGCTTTGCTGTTTATATCTCTCCTATTTGTTGGGCAAAGGAATGCCACTCACAAGGCTCATTTTGTATGATTCTTTTTCTTTGAGATTTGAGTTATCCTTTTTCCTGGGCTTGAAATTATGTTTCCATCCACAAGTTGTCAAAAAAAAAAAAGCATCAGATGCAGAAATGCTGTTTCTCCATATTGATAAGGTTCCATTAACCATGATTCATTTCCATTTTCCAATCCTCATGATACAGGTGAGAGACAGAAACTCTTAAAATAAAACTGCACGATGGTCTTAAGTCTTGACCCCCTCCAAAACTCCAAAATCTTACATATGGACTGATGAATTATCAACTTTACAGTCGTGACCGACCAAGCCACAGAATGAATACTCAAATCGTCTTTATACACAACATGAATTTAGCTGTTAGTGCTTGAAAAATGTAATTGAAACTATCATCTTTCTTCTACCAAGGTATCATATGCAAAAACAAGATCAAACCCAGCCGCATGGAATACAGTAAACACATCTAACTCTGCTGCTTTTGCTTTCATTTTTTCTCCTTGTTATTCAAGTGACTAAAATATAGAATACCACTGTGTCATAACATGGCATCTTCTCTACGTTACCGTGTACGCATAACCACAAAATTCACAAGTACAATTGTTGAGATCATGCAATTAAAGCAGCGTGTGATAGTTTACAAGGAACTGTAATGGAGACTGCAGGTTCTGCCTTATCATCCTCTATAAGATAGAAGAATTACAATATACAAACGCCATTTCATCTTTCTGAAGAGTTGTTTAATTCCTTGTCATTATTCTTTGACATGATATCACATTTGAGCCTATGCCGTAGGTAAGAATTCACCTGCTTTCTTAATTTAGCATTGTTGGTGAAGATGTCTGCCATGATCTTCCTTAACTCATCATCCATTCTAGTATCATAGTGGTCATGTATGCCATCGATATCCCCAGTGGCTTTGCTATCTTCCTTGTCTAATAGTTGCGCCTAATTCAATTTGTGCAGCAAAAAATTAATTAGTGCAAAAGTTATGGAAGACCAAACAATAAAAAAATGCAAAATAAAATTAAAAAATTAACAAAAAGAAGGGGGTGGGATGGCAAGAAGGGGAAGAGAGGTAGAGGGAACAAAAGAGGGGAATCCATTTATGGATTTTACTTATAATGGTGAGAATGCCTTTCATTTAACAGTATTTAATTTCGGTACAAAAAAAGGGACAAAACTAACTTTTATTTACCATCTAAATATTTCCCCAACCTGAATATAACTGAGAATTTAAAGATCAACTCAAGGGACAAGAGTCTAACAATGTTGAAAATAGCCAAAAAGCAAGGTACCTCTGCAAGTAGGAGAGTGATTTTATCATCAGATGTAGTCAACAAATCCAATGCATCTTCAACTAAAGAAGTATCTTTGATTAAATTTTCATCATCTGAAGACAAATTCACATTGCATTCGAGAAGTCGATGATGAAGAAGCTGGCATTCATTTAGCAGCTTTTCTCTAGCAGTTCTCACATGCTTTCTGATTTGTCTTTCCTGTTCTCGTTGTACCTGCAAAGTCCAAGGATTACATCTAGTAGCAAGAAACTTAAAGCAATGATTTGCTTTGAATACACCCAATATCTCTAGAATCATTAAAGATGTAAAATTTCAATAGATATTAAGGTTTTTTTTTTTTTCTTTTTTTTTTTTTTGTTGAATGTATAAAGAAGAAACTTAACATATAACAAATGCTTTAGTACAGACAGTTACCTCAGCTTCAGATTTTTCAGACAGTGATTGAGCAACCACCTGCTTCAGTTCTTTTTGGGATTTCCTGAGAGACTTGATCTCTTTAACAAGAACTTTAATATCTGCTTTTGATTTTGCCTCTAGCTCTTCATATTGCTTTGATATTTTGTTCAACTGCTCCTTAGTAGCATTTAACTCTTGCAGCATTGTATCTTTCTCCTCAGCAGAAGACTGGTTGCTTGTCTCTGTTATTTGCCTCTCATTCTGTCTCAAGTTTTATTGTTCATTAGTGAATAGTAAAACATTCAAAGTAAATTTTATTTCAAGGAGCAGAAATTGCCTCAAAATCATATGTTGCTATAGAGAACCCGGCAAAGATTTGCAATGCTTGTCCAAGGGAAAGCAATGATGGTTAATTCTTCAAAAAAATTTCTCAATTAACCCTCGAACTCAACTTCAACAATCAGTGTCTATAATGTTACTATCTGAAGATTAGTTTTGGCTTTATCTTGTGGGGCGAGGTTGGAGTTGGTTTTTTATCCAAAGAAGATATAAAACAACTAGAAACATAGAATCACCAGTTTTAAATAATGCCTCTCCATGCATCATTTATCAGGCCAAGTTCATCGTTTACCTTAATTGACAAAAATATCTGTACAAAGCATCAATTTCATGCATGTGCACATGTGGGGTGGTTAAAATGAAGAATAAAAAGGTGTTTAAACGCATTACCTGTTCAGGATTCAACTTCAACTCCAATTCCAATGATTTACGCCTAAGTTCTTCCATTTCCCACTGCATTTGTGTAAACCTTTCTCTTTCAATCAGGATAGCTTGCTGCAGGTTTTCTTTACTTTTCTGTTTGGTGCTTTCAAGTTCCACTTCCAAATCCTTAACCTGAGCATCTCCAAGTTGTTAATTCAACCTCAAAATTGCTAATATTTTACTAAGAATAAAGCTCAGTCACCCTCTACTGGAATATAAAGCACCATAAGACAAAAACCATTAGAAAATTGACTCAAATGTTATAAAGGTTTCTCATCAAAATTTGTAGGAATGGACACAGTTCTGCACATACTTGACCCCAGAGAGAGAAATATAGAAAATGCAATACTGATACATACAGAAAACCAAAAGCTAACCATACAAAATTCATGTTTTCCACACAATTAATTTGAATGTAGATCAAACAAAGTTCATTACTGAAAGAATAGGGAAACCAATACAGTGAAATATCACAAGTCAGCTTTACAACTATGAACTATCTCTGCAAATAGCCCCTGAATACTGAAAAAAATCTCAAACATATTGGTAATTTGTGGCAAAAAAAAAAAAAAAAAACTATTTATATTATGATAACTTTCAAAATTTATCTCAGAAAGCACATCAAGATGCTTCCACACACACCTTTGTCATTAGATAATCTTTCACTGCTATTTCTTGATTTAATCTTGCAAAAAGATCCTCCATGTCAGTTTTTGCAGTGACTAGTCTCCGCTGCATGGTCAAAAGAATCCTGTTCATCTTATGATGCTGATCCAATGGAAGGACTATTTGTGCATCAACAGAGAACTGAGAATCCGAGTTTCCAAGAGTTCCCATGGTATTTAATACTTCGGCAGTTCCAGGAAGATCAAGAGGGCCATCAACAGATGAATTTGGAATCATAGAGCTGGACATGTCACTACCTCTCAATGAACTTGCATCACTTCCAACACTTTCAGTCGATAGCTTTCGAGCATGAACAGTCATCTTAGCTGGCTCTGGCTCAGAAAAGAGTTCCAATCCATTACCTGCAAGAAATGAAGCTATAGACCCATTTCCATTACAAGTATCTCTTCCCAAATTATTATTGATGTTTCTCGGGTGTGTTTTATGCCTAGGAAAATCGTCTAGCTGCTCCAAAATTGTCTGTCCCATAAATAGTCCCTCATCAATGTTGGACATACCATACTTGACCAGTTTTTCTATTGAACCTGTAAAATCTTCATCCAATGTCAGATCTCCCAAACCAATTTCAGAGCTGTCATCTCTCACTAACCTAGGTGTCCCAAGCTCAGATGCCTCATAAGCAGTATCACTACCATAATCTGATGTGACTGATGAACTACCAGCAAGATGAGATATGCTTGAACTGGGAGGAATGTTATTTGATGAAATTGTGCTATTTCCAGCAACATTCATTTCTGATGAGTGTTCATTTACATCTTGGAATGCTGAAAGAATAATACAAAATGTTAAAACTCCAAGTTAATGATAAAACTCATCTTGATTATGGATATATATCTTCAATTAGACATCCAATATCACTTAGATTCTATTAGACAACCACTTTTACAGGTAAATTGTTGAAGCTTCTTAAAGTCCTGTTAATGAAGTAGAATTGCACATACAAGACCTCGCAGCAGCTTCTAGTTCCAGAAAGGATGCCACTGAAACACTTCTTGACAAATCAATGTCAGATAACAGCTTTGTCATCCACTCCTCCAATGAACACCTTCTCTGCAACAAAATTAAGCCTTTTGAGGGCATAGTTACCCAGATAATAAAGATGACAAACAACGACAGGTTTAATTTGGAACATTCCATTTTTTTTTCTTTCTTTGTTTTTACCCAAACAAACCAATTTGCATCACACAAACAATTCATTGCTACTGTCGCAGCTTCATAAACCAGCGGCTATAGCTGTCTAAATAGAACCTAAGAAAGAACTTTCACATTTAAAATTAAAAAATTTTTGTTCAAGAACAAATATTTGTTGAATAAAAACTCTAATTGAATACTATGTTTGTATGTCAATACGAAACTATAGGTAACATATGGATTCAAAACTTGAGAGATTAATAATGCTAGTTTGAGTTAACTTATCCAGTGGCAAGTTATATAGAAAAATATTCGCATGCTTGACCAATATAGGCTGCCACAAAGTGATGTCACAATTTGGGAAAACTAGTTGTAGGACAAAATAATGCTGAACAAATGCCCATAAAAAACTAAGTTTTCTGGCACAAAGACCTGAGAGAAAGGATGAACTGTTGTTAGCAAATACAAGGGAAAAACATAGCTAGTGCTAATCATTAAAGAAGAAAAAATGAGAATTGAAATAGAGTTATGCCACATTTTCCAGATGATAAAGAGAAGGAAGACACTACAGCAGTTCTATTAAAAGCATAAAAGAAAAAGAAAAATAAACAAAGTGAAAAACTTATTGGCTACCTCTTCCAACAGAGCCCTGCTTTTCATTCGCAACAGCCCCTTGGGTGGAGCAGGAGGAAGACTTTTCTTGGGAAATGCCCTTTTTAGCTGTAGACGTGAATCAATAACAATATAAGAGGTCCCTAAATCAGACGTATTTGAAAATTTTAATAAGAATGTCTGTCATTTGTTCCCATAGTTATGCTCAAGCAATTATGTCATAAGAATCAGCTGCAGTTTCCTAACATACACTCTGTTTACTAATATTGGTGCAACATAAAAACAATGTCAGGACTTACTTCAGTAAATAGCTTCAAAAAATCATTAAATCTTCTCAATACTCCACGAGTAGTTGTAACACCCTCTGCTGATTGTACCCCAACCTGTACCCTGTAAAACTGCCCCCTAAGAATGTTAACAAAGAACCATGGCAAATATGTTAGTGTCACTGCAGTGTTAAAATATCTACATGATTGATGATTATGACAGAATGCCAATATGTCCAAAAATTGAATGAAATCCAGGGTGTTAAATTTCCACCTATAGACTTTCAGCCCATTTAGATGTTGAAAGTTTTCTGAACTGTAATACACAATCCACAACCAAAGTATTACAAAATTAAGACTAAAAGTGTGAGGCTGAAATTTGTATCATGAAAGAGAATTCAACATATCAATAAGTCACAAACTACAAGACAGAACGAGATAAAATCTATCATAGGCATAGATACAGGTGATTACCACTACAGGATCTGAATCTCTTGATTTTGGAAGGACAACCCAAGAAGGTATTGTAACACAGTAACTCCATCCTGTTCGAGAATCATGCGGCCAAACAGTTTCCCTCCCATTCTGCATATACATATACAATGACTACGTGCTAGAACCAAGACTCAGATCATAAACAAAGGAAAATAAAATTCTTTTCCATGCTAAAAAAAGCCAAAAATTGTATTTAAAATGTAAACCTGTTTCAAGATTAAATTATAACTCAGTCATTATTTTGAGATGATGTCTCAGATTGAGTTCTTGGATCATCATAAAAGGGCAAACCCCGGTGCACAAGGCTCCCCACTTTGTGAGGGTTGTGGGAGGGTCCATAGTTGTTGGATCATCATGCTTAATTAAAACTACTAATAAAATTTCAGCTCAAAAAAATGTATAATATAAATGCTTAAAAACCAGCTCATCAGGTCTCCTATTGGCAAAGAAATTTGTAGATATGGGAAGCAAAATAACCTAATATTCTAAACTTTACTTAGATTAATATCTCTAAAAGCCGGACAAAAATATATAAATGTAAAAGCAATAAATGCAATGTCTTTTTCAGTTAAGATTAAGATAACTAGCTATCCAGGTTACTGAAACAATCTAAAAATCAAGTCCAATCTCATCATTGCCAAATTGATCGTCTTTTTATTCTCGATCCACCACAAACTCACTTCAAACACTAATTATTGCTTAAAATCATAGACTAAACTCTTCAATCACCAAAATTGAGTGCTAATTGAGATTCCAAACTGATTTCAAATAAAAACCAGAAAGAAGGAGAGAGAGAGAGAGAGATGAGGGAAAGCTGACCCATTTACGAGGGGAAGGACTCCAATCCATCCCGAGAGGCAGTGGCGAAGTTCCATCGTGCCTGTGCTTCGGTGGACTCCGTCTCTGCATCATGTTTATTTTTTTATTCGTTATAAAATAAGGCCGATCTCTCTCTTTGAATCGAAATTGAACATTAAATCAAGGCTCCGTCTTGAATGTCGAGAAGGGAAGAGCCTTAGGGTTTATGCGATCGGATCGGGGCAGAAACTGGATAGCTGGAGAAAACGGTCAACAGGTGTTGGACGTAGGAATTTCAATTATCAGAGACTCTGACCTTTGCACTGTTATATTATTAATCATAATACTTCAGAACTAAGAAAAGAAAAGACGGCGCATATTAAGAAAGAGAAAATGGGCGAAGTGGGCTAGATTGAGCCGCGAGCGTAGCGTGTCACCTGAACCTGCTGTTGTTTCGATGATTTCTGTCTCTTTTTTTTGGGTCTTCTCTCAGGTCGTCGATGCCAAAAACAGTTCCATCGCATGATCTCTTTCTTTCCCTTTTTTTTTTTTTTTTTTTTTCTGCTTTATTTATTATTGGTTTTATTTGGGTTTTGTTTTTCGGGGTCACATTGGTTCTATTTTTTTTAGTACTAAGAGAGAACGGTCTTTACCTAAACCTCTTGTGCAGCCCTTGCATTGAGCTTCACGGTAAACAACGGAAAAAGACAGATCGCTGCTTTTGCTGGCTATTTAGGCTTTGAGTTCCAAATTGTGGTCTTATATTATTCATGGACCTTTAAATATGGGCCTCATTTGATTCAACTTTTAACTTCTCTTGGACTAGAATGTGGATTTCTATCAAGTCAGTTCTTGTGGATCTAGAATAAAACTGCCTTTCAGTTCAAAAAGCAGGTTGCACAATTGGGCTTTCAGTTTTGGAATGCTCCTTTTCTTTTTTAAAGGATTTTTTTTTTTTGTCGTGGATGCACTATAAATCATCCCGACTTTTTATATTACTTTCATAATATACTGGTAAATTTTAGAATTATAAATTATCAATATGAATTATCATTAGTTTGTATATTATTATTATTATATTAATGTTCTTTCCTTTTATTTAAAAAACAAAAACAACCCCTTGAAAATGAGTCAATTTGTGTAATATTTGGAATTTCTCCCTATTTGGGTGTCTGTTAAAATGAAAAATGTTGGTTCAGGTGAATACTCTGTACTTTTTAGTCAGGTTTAAGTGGAGCAAATGATAATCTAATCAGTAGCTGACGGGTTTTGTTTGTCAAAGAAAGAAAAAAGGAACAAATTATTGGCAAATTTAAAAGTTTGACTGAGATTCCTTTTTATGCGCTTAAAATGATATTACAATTACATGCGAATATTGAGAATTTCAAATATAGAGTTTTACTTGCAGCACTAATTATTTATTTATTTATTTATTTTTGTCACTGTAAAGTAAAATTTATTAATGTAAACATAGTAGCAAAATGATAATTATCAAGTAAACTACTCAATAATGATTAGTTATATAGTGTTTTATACATGCATCCTTAATATCTACTCTATCTTCTGCTTATTATTAGATTGCAATTTAAAAAAAAAAAAAAACTTATACGGGATAACAATTAAGCTCTCTTTCTTCTTTGGCAGAAATTTAAAAAGAAAAAAAAATTATTATACTACCAGCAAAGATTCCTATACATTGATTTTTATTAACAAAATTGTCGGAGGCATTTAGTAGATTAAAGAGTACAATAACCTTTTTTCCATTAGGGCCTTTGATAGACAATCAAAGATATTTTGAATATTTGCATTGACTTGATATATTAAGTTAGCTGGATATACTCAGTGTCACATTAGCTTGATCACATTATTTTTATTTTTTATTTATCTTTTACCTTTCATCTATAAATATAAATATCAAAACATTATCATCCCAAGTTCCATCTTGACTTAACCTTTTATCTTTATCTCCTTCCGACCTTCTTCATCTTGATTTTTAACTTGCGTGTTAGAGTGTAAATGTAAAAAATACTCTCAGCCTTTGCATCTGACTTTCTATCCTTGCTTTATGTTCTTTTAGGAATACTTTCAGGTCAGAGCTCGACACAAACATTTGATGCACTAGGTAGGGGCTTTTCCATTAATTAGTTAAGTACAAAACGATACCACCTAGGAAGAGAACTTTGAAAGAAGGAAAAACGGTTGTTTCGATCGAAACGGAGACACAAAATAGCCAGCACTTAGATTGACCTACCCTACAATAGGTTGATTTGACCATGAAGCAGTTCCAAGCTCTGACAAAGCAAATACAAGCTCTCAAACAGATGTTACAGACTATAACTCTACCCAAGCTTTGAAGGTTCCCAACCTAGTTACCCTTGGTCGAGAAGTTGTGGAAAGACAGCCTAACTATAGAGAGGTGGAAGCCTTCTCGACCTCCAGAGAAGAAAAGCACAACACTTTTGCTCACCCCCACCCTAGTCACAACTTAACACATGCCACGACCTAAAAATCAAAACAAACTAACTTAAACCCCCAGTTAAACAAAGATTTAGAAACTCAAATGCAAGTTATAGAAAAAAAAACTAAAGGCGAAGGCGGTGACTTTCAAAGATGAGCTCAAACTCTTAGAGACCTCACTTTTCACCGAAGAGATCGACAAAGAAATGCTTCCAAAAGGGTTTAAAATGCTGACCTTAGAAACTTACGACGATGCTTCTGATCCCTTCTATCATCCGAAACTTTATAAAACTAACATGATAATGTCGAGCACGAATGAAACTTTGATGTGTAAGGGCCTTGCTACTACCCTTAATGGCACAGCTCAGTCTTGATAGCAGTTTAAAATCAAGGTTAATCACAACATTTAAAAACCTCAGCCAGTCCTTCTTGTCTTAATTTATCAGTAGTAGAACAACAAAGAAAATGATGTTAAGCTTGATGTCGATCCACCAAGGCCATAATGAATACCTGAAAAACTATGTCATGCGTTTTAACATAAAAGCTCTATAAATAAAAGACCTAAAAAAAATGGTCATTGTAGTCGCCTTGACAAGTGGACTCAATGACAAAGAGTACTATTTAAAATTGACCTTATCATTAAAGTCACCTAAGACTTTGGCCGATGTCCTACTTGTAGCTGAAAAATATATATATGCTAAAGTTACAATGAGAAATAGCCAAAGTGAGAGGGGCTCATCGTCTTTCTTCGGTCATAAGAAAAGTAAAGATTTTTACAATCTTCCCCCAAAAGAGAGATAATATAAGGCTCGTAACCCTAGTGGAGAAAAAAATTATATTGTACTGAATACTTCTCGAAAGAGGATTTTGATGCAAATAAAGAAGAATCTGAAGCTCAAAAAGTTAAAGCCACTGAGGTAAAATATGAGAAGGGATTTGACCAAAAGAAGTGCCTACCATATAAACATAAGCCACAACATCAAAAATTGTATCAACATTAAAAATGAGATTGAAACTTTGATTAGAATAGGTCAGCTGATGAGGTTTGTGGACTAAAGAAGACAAGGATAGAATAAGTTAGATTCTAGATAGGACTAAAAAAAGCCCATGAAAGATAGGAATGGCAAGCCAAAGGAAAACATAAGAGGAAAAGTCTGAAAAGATGAGCAAAGACAGAAAGAAAGCCAACCTAACAATTATAGGTCAATTATTATAATGATTAATATGATTATTGGAGGGAGTTTAACCTCAACCAAAAAAAAATCCAACCCAAGGATGATCATGGCCATTGGCTCTTTAGTCAAGAAAAAAAAAGATTGGAAAGATAAATCAGTCTTATTTAGCTCTGAGGATTTGAAAAGAATCCAACATCCTTACGATGATGCTATAGTGATCACAACTATGGTATATAATTATGTGATTAAGAGGATCCTATTCGATAGTGGGAGTTCAACTGATGCCATGTACTATACCACCATGAAAAAATGGTATTAAGGAAAATCAGTTACAACCAATCACTATAACCTTGGTGGGATATAAAAATGAGTAAGCACTAGTGAAAGAGATTATCAAACTATCAATCTCTTTGGGAATGAAACTGAGGATAGTCACATCAATCATAGAATTCATGATAGTAAACGAACCATCTGTTTACAACATGATATTGGGCCGACTTAGCCAATATGTTATGTGGCTTATAAGCTTAACTCCCTATCTAAAGGTAATAGTGTTACATCATGATAATGAAAGGGAGGACTAGGAAACAAATTGGTAGCTTAACTCAGACAAAAAATGTTGAATAAGAAGGACAAGCAACAAAAACCAAGGAAAAGCAAGAAAACATGAGTAAAAACTTGCAACATATAACCGAACTCATAGAAATGCGCTATTAAGTTACTCTAAGCTCTTAAGCACTAATAGCTCTAATAGAAGATATATCTTTTGTTTCATTTTTTGAACTTTTGAAATGACCTTAAAGGTGAATGAGCTATAAGCCGACATAAATATTTACATGTCATTTGGACCAAGCTAGCACATTGACTAAAAACAAAAATTGAAATGAGAAATACTTCTATTCAGCCATATATTTTGATCACTTATCAAATAATATATTGATTGTCACATCAAGATCTATCTTTGTAAGAAATACCCTCAACCTAACTGAACAAAAATAAATAATTAACCATTCAAATGAAAATCGACCTGATTTAATATAAGATTTTATGTCTATACCATTTTGGAAAAATATTTTAGAAAAACACATGCAAATCTGAACTAAACTAGAACACAAAGAACAATTAACTTAGCTCTTGAGAAATACATAGATATACCTGCATGAACACCATCTTATATGCTCAGGATTGATACCAAGATGATGGTTTATAGGCTATACACTAACTCAGATATGAAACAATTTTGGTAAAAAAAGAATACCTTTGCCTCAAAAAAGTAGAAGGCCATTAAAGAGGAGGTCGATAAATTATTGCAAGCAAGTTTTATCAGGAAAGTTTACTATCCTACATAGATAGCCAATGTGGTCATAGTTAAAAAGTACAACAAAAAATGAAAGATGTATGTTGACTTTACTAACCTCAATAAAGATTGCTTAAAAGATGATTTTTCTTTCCTTAGTATAGATCGACTAGAAGATGACAGTGCCAAGCATAGCATTCTTAGCTTTATGGATGCCTACTCTAACTATAACTAAGTCAAGATGTTAAAGGAAGATGAGAAGAAAACAACTTTCATCATTGAAAAGGGCTTTTATTATTATAAGGTGATACCCTTTGGCTTGAAAAATGTATGGGCGACATATCAAAGGTTGGTCAACAAGATCTTTAAAAATTAGATCGACTGCAACATAAAAGTGTATGTGGATGACATGATAATCAAAAATAAAAGCTTCATCGAGCATTTGAAAACCCTCATAAAGACTTTTGGCACTTTGAAAAAATACAACATAAGATTCAACCTGAGTAAGTGTACTTTTAGAGTCATATCAAGCAAATTCCTTGGCTATATAATTAATAAGATAAAGATAAAGGTAAGCCCAGAAAAGGTTCAAGCAATCTTTGATATGAAAGCACCAACCTCA